TTTCATTAGTGCTAATATAACAATTAGATACAATAACCATATTGAAAATCTAGTTGAATAATTGCCATCACAATTACGAACAGGTACAGGGTCTACAACTTTTTCACAAGTCCATTATCTTCTTTTGTTCTTCCTTATACATATCTAGGTGTGTCACATACGCAATAACTGTTTTCAATAATATGTGCAGTTGGATGTCTACAACTTGTACAAATATTGCATTCAGCACATTTAGTATCAGTTTATTCACAGAAACAACTTTCATGACATTTAGTAGCTTTTTCGTATACTGATGTATCTATAACAACATCAGCTAATACGAATGTAGTTAATCCTAATAATACCAATAATAATAATGTTTTATTCATTAATAATATTTTTTTATTTATATTTTTTTTATTTTATTAATATATTATATATTTTTTTTTTAATTTTCTTTATATTAATTTTTTGCGTTATTTTATTTTTTTTATCAAATATTATAAAATAATTTTATATATTACCGTTTAATTATAATAAATAAAATATAATATATTTTTCTATTACCGTTAATTTAAAAAAAAAAAAATTAATTTATTTTTTTAAACATTAAATAAAAATATATTATTTTAACAAATTTTTTTATTTTATTTAATTAATATTTATTGATATTATTTTTATCCATATTTTTAATTTTTATATTGACTATAATTTTCATTAGAAATTTAATATTTTATTTTTCTTTTAAAAATATTATTAAATATAATAATTTATTTAACGCGGTTATATCAAATTAATTAATTATATATAAATAATATTTATATTAAAATTTTCGCTTTAATAAAAAAATATATTTATTTATAAGTATTATTCTTTTGTTTAAATTTAATTTGTATTAATATAAATAAAAGCATATAATTTTATTACAAATCCAATTTTTTTTTTAATAAAATGTTTTATTAAAATTTATTTTATATTTCTTTAATATTAAAAAATGTAATAGGCATTTAAATAAATTGTTTAAAATATAAATTTGATTTGAGTTTAATTATTCGATGTGTATTATAAAAAATTTAAGCATATTATTAAAGGTTTAATAAATAAAGATTAATTTTAAAATAAAAAATTAATAATAACAATATACTATTGAATTTTTATAATTTAAAATTCTATTTATATAAAAAATAAGACTAATAAATAAATAAATTTATAAATTTTAAAAAAATTATAATAAAATATTATTTATATATTATTATATTTAAAATAACAGAAGAAAAAGAGTTTTTAATATTTTATAATAAATTAAAAAAAATATTAATAAATAATTTAAATAAAAGTATTATAAAATTTCTATTAATATGTAATAAAATATATAAATTATTAAAAATAAATAAATATATTAATAATATTGTAAAACTATATTAATATTTTTGTTAAAATAATATATTTTTATTTAATGTTTAAAAAAATAAATTAATTTTTTTTTTTTTTTAAATTAACGGTAATAGAAAAATATATTATATTTTATTTATTATAATTAAACGGTAATATATAAAATTATTTTATAATATTTGATAAAAAAAATAAAATAACGCAAAAAATTAATATAAAGAAAATTAAAAAAAAAATATATAATATATTAATAAAATAAAAAAAATATAAATAAAAAAATATTATTAATGAATAAAACATTATTATTATTGGTATTATTAGGATTAACTACATTCGTATTAGCTGATGTTGTTATAGATACATCAGTATACGAAAAAGCTACTAAATGTCATGAAAGTTGTTTCTGTGAATAAACTGATACTAAATGTGCTGAATGCAATATTTGTACAAGTTGTAGACATCCAACTGCACATATTATTGAAAACAGTTATTGCGTATGTGACACACCTAGATATGTATAAGGAAGAACAAAAGAAGGATAATGGACTTGTGAAAAAGTTGTAGACCCTGTACCTGTTCGTAATTGTGAATGGCAATTATTCAACTAGATTTTCAATATGGTTATTGTATCTAATTGTTATATTAGCACTAATGAAAACAATTAAAACACTGTAGTTGATGTCCTTTCTTACAATTGGTAAAGACTTTCTCTTTAATTAGATCCTGAATGCTAAAATGAATTAAATACTACTCTCTTATGGTCTCCCTCATGTGGTGATGATAAATCTTATGTTCCTCTTGATTCTAAATACTTCAAGCATGAATAAGGTACTACCACCACTGTTTTCGAAGCTTCATTAATGGATATTTACAGTTTATCATCCAATTAACCTTAAGTTGGTGAAAGAAGTATCTTCTAAGTTATCTGCTTAGCTGTTTAATTATCTAATGCCTATGTTCCCATTAGATTACATAAATTCTAATTGAGAATCTTCACCAATAGAGATTAAGTTGAAGTCTTCCACTTAGATGTTTCTAAATAAATAACTGATGGATGTGACAAAGGTTAATAATGTATTGTAGTTGCCAATTTAGATACTAGAGGTGATATCTGTACATCAGAAGCTTGTACCGGATTCTTACCTGAAGGATCAGTTCCTAAATATATTGTTGGTGATTATTTATATGTAAGAATCTAATTCTTAGATAACACCTATACAAACTACTTATAAGTCTAAACTGTTAAATTCACTGATGACAGAGGTGTCTACAGTTATAACAAAAACACCTAATGGTGGTAAATCAATTAATAAAAAGGATTAGTTGATGTTAAAGTATTATTGTGGTAACCTTAAGTAAATTGCAAAGTTGAAGTTACCTTAAAAATAACACTTTAACCCGATTCAAGACTTAGAGCTTTGTCTGCTGAAAGCACAACTGGTAAAGTTACTAAATAAAATTTCTAAATCGAAGTTGCCTAATCTTCAACTAAAAACGCCTAATTAGAAAATAACTCTAGTTTTTCTGCAAAATTATTCTGCGGTTTAATCTTAGCTGCCTTAGCTTTATTATTCTGATTACATTAAAAATTAATAATATTTTTTATTTTATATTGTATTTCTTTTATAAGAAAATTTTAAAATACATTTTAAAAACATTTTATTAATATTTTTTTATTAAAATATAATAATTTATATGTAAATAACTTTTTATTTTATCTATTAAATATTTTTTTTAAGTTTTAAAACATTTCATACAATATTTTATATTGTATAATATTTACGATTTTAATTTTATTTAATTTATTTTTAAAACTTTCTTTACAAATTAGACATAAAACAATTAATAAATTTTTGCATTATATATTATATTTCTCTAAAAGCCATTTTAATTTATTTATCATAAAAAAAAATTGATTTTGCTTATTATTTTATCTATATTATAGCTAATGCTTAATATATAATCTAAATTGTTTTAAGTAACAAATTAATAATTATTTACAAGTTTTTTTAGGAAATGATAATTTTATTTTGCAAAATTGCTATCATATTATTTTAACAAATTTAAAATAATGTTACATATTTAACATTAGAAAAAATTGTTTATAATATAAATATTATCATAATAATTAATAATGGTAATATTATGTTATTTTTTTTTAGTTTGTCTATTTATTTTTTAATTAAAATAAAAATAATAATAGCATATATAAATATTTAATCTAATAATGTCTTATATAAACAAATTTCTAAAAACTAATAAAATGCTAATTTTTAAAATAATTATAAATATTTTATATGAATAGTAAATAAAAAAACAGTTGAAAAAGCGTTATATGTAAAATTCATGGTATTATATAAATTATACACCATAAAATAATATATACTATAAAACAGAAAATAATGAATAGGCAGATAGAAAATGTAATAACGATATCAAATATAAAAAATACATTCTAAAATATAATATAATATATTATATTTTAAATTAAGAAAATAAAATTGATATAAAAATATTATTAAATATTGTAATTAATTAACTTTGATAAAAAAAAAAATTAATACTTTATTTAACAAAAATATGAAAAAAAGGTTAAAATTATTTTGCTAATTAATAAGAAAAAAAACAAATGAATTATAATAAGAATATAAATTGCATTAAGCTAAAAAATAAAATAACTAAAAAAAAATTTAATAATAAAATTCAAATGAAAAAAAATATATATAAAAGTGATTATAATAATAATACTAATTTGAAATATAAATTTATTATAAAGTAAAAAAAAAATGTCTCTATATATTTAATTGTATATATATATATATATATATATATATATATATATATAAATATATATATATATATTATAATTACAATTATAATTTTAAATATATATATATATTTTTTTTTTTTTTATTTATTTATTTTATTTTAAAATAAATAAAAAAAAATATTTATTATTTATATAATTTTAAAGATATTATAAAAATAAATTTATTAATAATTTTTAAAACAATCTTTAATATATTTTTTTTTAATACAATAATTAATTTATAAAAACATTTTTTAAATAAAAATTAATTTTTATATATATTAGTTAGCTGAAAAATAAAAGATATAATATAAAACTATTTAAATATAAAATATTAAAAAATTATTAAAATTATATTAATATTTATGTAAATTAAATATATATTTATTTAATATATAAAAAATTAATTAATAATTTTTTTATATTTTTAAAATAACGGTAATAGAAAAATGTATTTTATTTTATTTACTATAATTAAACAGAAATATATAAAAATAAATAAAATAACGCAAAAAATTAATATAAAGAAAATTAAAAAAAAAATATATAATATATTAATAAAATAAAAAAAATATAAATAAAAAAATATTATTAATGAATAAAACATTATTATTATTGGTATTATTAGGATTAACTACATTCGTATTAGCTGATGTTGTTATAGATACATCAGTATACGAAAAAGCTACTAAATGTCATGAAAGTTGTTTCTGTGAAT